TAGCGGAGGTAAAAAGCCGCAAGTACTTGGCCATGGCCTAGGTGTAAGTTATCGAAAATCTAGGTGATATATGTGTGGGATATGGACCACTCTGGTAGGTTTACCACAAGGATAAAGAACCCCTTTATATGGTAATGTATGTCCACTTTAAAGTTCTAAGGGGCTTACACAGCAGTTCCTCTTTGAGAAAAATATCCCAACAGCACTAAGTAGATCAGAGGGTTTAATTGGATAACTCAAGTAATAGTGGGTTACAGGTATGGCATCTAGTGTAGTTCATATGGGTTACATATACAAGACTGCTTAAATAAACAACCAAAAGTTGTATATATAGCTAGAATGTATCCTCGTTAATATAACAAAGTCAGGAGTAACCCATGTGATTATCCTGACATTTGATCCAAAGTTCAATAAAACATGCCAGACCCCAAAGTGATCACCTTAACATTAAAAAAAAAAAAAGATTTCTGATCTTTTGACTGTGATTTTTTGTTATGAGCTTAAGTCTACATCTATTATACTGTATAAAATACTATATGTACAGTGTGTACTATTAGTGTTCAAAAACAGATTAAAAATCCCAGTTGATCTGGAATTGATCCGAATCCGATCCGAATCTGAAATTCGGATTAATCTGTAAGTGATCTGTGCCAATTTGACAGTTGAGCCAAAATTTGGCACATAAATTATGTTACAATGTATATGATAAATTCGAATATATCACTTAATTTGTGATACAAATTATGACATATTCAAATTTATCATGTAACAAATTCAATTTTATCATAAACAGTGATTATATAAAGAAATGACCTAAAATTAGGGCCAATCCCGCTCAATCCGGTCCAATCTGAATTTTCTGGGCCAACATTAATCTGATGGTTAGGATCTAACAAAATCCAAATCCGATCTGATTTAACTTTTTCGAACACTACGTACTATATGCAAAAAAAATTAGGTTATCATATAAATGGCACATTACTAACCATAACCACCACAACCATAACTAACCATACGACGCTTTCAATTCAAATCCGTTAAACATTTGGTTGACTTTTTTGGCCATTTTTATCGCTCAAAATAGGTTGCAAATATTAGATAATCAAACGGCAAATGCAAATTTGGCAAGCTGATTTTATTAGTGTTGTTTTATGAGTGTTGTTCGGGTACCCTTATGTCAAGAAAATGGATCTACAAAATGTTGGCTGGAACCAATAAAAATTGCAGAATTTTGATCTTCGTGTAACGTAAAAAAACGCTAACCCTAACGCTAAACAAAAAATTGTAAATAACACAAAATTTTATTAATACAACTAGCTATGTACTTCTAAGTCAAAATTTCGAAATTGTGTTTTATATCGGATGTAGATTATTTTCTTGACATAAGGGAATCCGTGTTGTTCTATTGTGTTAAATTGGCGGCATTATTTGCCCGATTTGACAAATTTTGCAACGCACGATCAATATTATATACATAATCTTGTGATAAATTATTAAAATTGCTAACTTAGCACGAACGTATGTACTAATAATGCACTATACATTGTTTATTATTGGCAAATAATTGCATATCTCGAAATTGGCAGATTTTTGCAAAGTTCGTTTTTTTTCCAAGTTCAGTATATTTAATAGTCTGAATTGGTACTTGGTTATAGTTCGATATAGATAGTACGAACCGCATAACTATTCATTTTAATCAAAATTGCTAGGGTAATGAAGGAGGCATTGTTCCTAGAGATGTAGACATTTAGAATCTTGAGTGATAACTACCCCAACAAAATATCATGGTAATATGGCACGTTTGCCGTATAAGTAGAAGCGCTTTATGCCGTAGTCTTCCCCAGCGCGACCATCAAAAAAATCGGGCATGTGAGTGTCTGGTTGCAGTGCACAAATTTCCAGGTGATGCAATGTGCCTTTTTTCCGAAAGTGTTTTTCCTAACCGGAACTTAGAAACCATAGTCAGAAGTCATTATTATTAACGACGAAAATTTGTCTTACGTAGACAGAAATCTTCGTTATTTTACAGTCTAGTTGTGTGAAAAAACTTGTTATTCCGAATCGCTGATATCGATATTAATATTACGGCATTAGTCTCGATACTGATAAAATGTATACATTCACCTTTTTCTTATTAATTTTTACAAATCAATACTTCTTTATTTCTTCTTTACTGTATTTACATTTTAACAACTGCGAAACCTTTTAATTCGTATTTGTGAAGCAAAAATTACTAATAATAATAATAATAATAATAATACCCCTTAGAAATAGAAGACAATTACATGAATTATTGATTTTAAGTGAAGTCAAAACTGTTATAACTTTATTTTGAAAAATGAAAGCCAACGTCTATATGAGTAAAGAAATAGATTGGATCAAGAACTCATTCGAAGCAATAATGAAATAGAATCAACGAAAAAAATTTCGTCAAGCTATCAACTTTTTTCCAACTTTTTTAATTAGAGTGTCTAAAAGAAGGTAGATCAATAAACTGTATAATCAAAACAATGAAAACTAATAAAGAAATTATTTGACCTGATGGTTACAATTGGTCACAAAGAGTAATCAATACCAATTACAAAGATCAAGATACATTATTCATAATCAAATGATTTTTATTGATATTTAATATGTATGTTGATATATAATGTAATGGTTATTTAATTTTGGCTTTAAGATTCTCTTTATTCCCGAATTTTATTTATTTTTTTAATAGCATCGTTATTAGTCACGGGATCGTGTCATGACTATGGTACTCGTTTGATACCGAGTAATTCTTATTTTCGAATAGATAAACTACTCATTTATTCGATACACAGTTAAAAGTCGGCTATCTTATTTTAGACCAAGATTTCGGTATCCAAACATTGAGCCTAATTTAGGTTCAATGTCCGGATACGCAACCTAAAATTTGGATCAGTTGAACCAGGAACTGGATATTTTCGAAAATTCCGTAGAGTATGAGTTGGAAGACTTTCACCTCGCTTTCCTCAGCTCCACCCAATTAAGAAAATTTCTTTTTTTAAAGAGAAACAATTATAAACCGAATTTTCGTTATGTTTATTTGTCAATACTTGAAAAAACCCAAACATAGAATGTTTATAAGTTTAGTATATTTCCATTTTTTAAAATTTACACAATAAACCCAATTGTAAAGACCGTAAATCTTGTACGGTTAGATCTTTAAAAATAATAAGATACAATATATTTATTTAAAAGTAAATAAAAAATACTATATAGAAAATAAACTCTTCATTTACGAATCATTTTATCTAAAAGAGATTAGTGTTTTTCTAAAACTAACACCAAAAAACTAAGCCTAGCAATTACAAGGGCTATTGTAACAGAAAGGATACTAATGCAAATAACTTTCCAGGCACTTGTTTCAGGCACATAAATACGTTTTTTAGGTAAAATTCTATAACAATGAGTATCTAACCAAATGTAATAAGCTAAAATTCCATATGACAACGCGTAACATAAAGCACTCAATAGATAACTGGTAATCAAAAGATAGAAAATTCGATAAATTTAAATAGATTTATGTAATTTAACAATCCATCTCTATAAGGATTTTATACAAAGACAGTGTACTTACGCATTAGGATGATTAAGAAATATTACATATATGGAATCACCTAAAAGACGGACACTTGAAGCGAAAATCAATGCCACAAGTTGTTTTGGTTGAGGAAGGAAACTTAGAGGAAGTGGATATTCAGAGCTAGGTTCATCTGGAATAGTATCTTCTGGTGTATCACTTGACTCTAGATTTTCATGTTCGGTATTTATAGGAAGACTATTCTCATGTTCGTGAAGATTTCTACGAGTGGTAAAGTACAATCGAAAGAAAGTAATTACGAATGCCACCTGTATACTTTGGGCTATTCAAAAGAATGATGGAATTATGATTCAATTATTTTATATTACGAAATAACTCCCCGGGGCGCTATTTGAGGTATGCAATTTAAAGAGAATTTATAGCTAGTTTAACCGAGAATTTTTTTTAAGAATAAGATTATAATATGCATTCAGTTAAATTATTTAGCCCTCTTTGGGATTGCATGCCTTAAAATAACACCCCGGGGCAAATACGGTATATGCAGTGTTGTCAATTGGACTAATTGGACCCATCGATTAAACCAATTGAACATGTCCGATTAGTCCAATTGACTACACTAGGTATATGTATACCTTGTATCTGATACCAAAATGCATCATAAGGAAAATCCAACCATACGCAACCAATGATTATTATGACCAAATATCTAAGTACCCATACCCAATACTTAATCGCAGTAATCTTTCCACCATAATGAATACATGCTAATAACGAAATCTCTGCAGCATTGCATAATAATCCAATTGGGGTCCATAATTTCCCAATATCAAGGATCATATAAGCTACGAAAGCGAGCCATGTAAAAAAAATAGAATTTGCTAAAAGTAAGTTAAAATGACGGGTAGATGTGAACACTGAATTATTTTCATAAAAATGGGAGATAAGACGTTTATCTTGAGGAGGGTAAAATGCCCAATAAAAACCAAAAATACTAGCGAAAAAGCATATCAAGTTAGAAAATAACAAGATTGTATTGAGGCGATTTGCATCGAGATCTAATATTAAGATAAAATTAAGATACGCATTAAAGAGATTCAAATTCAAAATTGATTCTATATTAATACAATAATTTTTAAGGACATTAGTAAACCTGGAATATTAGGATGCCATGTTGGATATCCGGTTAATGTAGAATTTGCTACAATGGGCAGTTCAAAATTCTCTAGTCCAATAAATGATAATAAAACTACAGTTAGCGCCAGGAAGGATGCTATAACGGCTATCGCGGGTCCAATTATTATACTCATTTTTGAAGTTTGAATCTGAAAAAAAATTGGTCATGATCTAATTTGTATATTTTATATTATGACAATTTTTAGCCAAATTCTCATGATTTACTAAAATGGCGTACAGTTATTTGTACGAGTGAGAATGTAAGCCCTCCGCATGTATAAAGCGAAAAAAAAAACTAAAAACAATAAAAAAATAAAACAATGACGTTTACATCTGCCCTTATGGCGCTAATTAGAAACAGTGAAGATGAAATTCCACCTAAGGTAACTCATTGTTTTTCCTATGACTATGAACACTACTAACAGACTCTAACGCTAATATCCTAACTAAAGGTTTGTATCACTCCTCGCAGAAATAACCACAAAATAATCATACGATCATTGGGGAGATCCCCGCTTTGTTGAAATAAACAATACTCTAAGTATGAAAAACTAAAAAAGGAAAAGAATTCACACGCACAGAAAGTGTCGGATGATTTTTTTATGCGCTATTGCTAATCCGTAGTGTATAACAAAAATGTCTATAAAGCCGTTAATCTGTAACGTAACGAATAAATATTAAGTAATAATTTATATTAAATGTGGCAGATTAAGATTAAAAGAAATGAAGAAAGTATAAAATAGACAAGCCACCGAAAAATACAAATTTTTGGGATGCATTTTTTTAGCATTTTTTTTAGGGGTAGAATTAGAGTTTAGAAGCAGGTTTTATAATAAACAAGTATTAATGGGTTTTAGAGGGTCAAATAGAAACACCTCATTTCATTTTAATCTGGTTTCATTATGATCTGCAACATTAAATAGATAAAGATATTACTTCTGGAATTTATTATTAACTACAGAACTACTAGTAACAGAACTACACTACTAAAAAGTGTTATATCGATATTATTTTACCACCCACTTTTATTATGCGGTCCCACTTACCGCATCATTTACTCTTGGATAATCTCTTGGATAATCGCTTATAAAAATTTGTTTAAATTTAGGTATAAATATTTTACTGATAGAAATTAATATCAACCATAAATTTGCCCAAAACAATAAAAGTGAAATTTTGTTTACTTCTTTTAAAA